AAAAATCTCTAAAAAAATATAGAGACAATAGAATTCAGAATATTATGGTAAAAAAAAATACAATTTGAAAAAAGTTGATGACCCCCATACAATTCCCCAAACTGACGTTCTGCACGTCTAGTTGACTCGTGTCAGGTGCAGGACTAACCCTCTAATCACAAGCAACTATGGTGTCCATAAGATTCTTAAATTTCTGTAACACAAAAATGGCCCACACAGTTTATCACATCCCACCCCGACCCTTATCAAATGAAAATGATCTGATTGACACAGCATTAGGTTTTAAGTAAACTCTGTGTCTAGTTAGATTCTTCTCTCCGATACAGCTATGGCTCACACCAGAATTCCAACATTTTTCTCCTTGTGACCTTGTCTAAATAATACCTGATAAAAGTCATAACACAAAATATTTTCTCTGGAGACTGTGTTCAAGTAATACCAGGTCAAGGTCATGACAAACCCATGGTCATGTCCATCTCTGTGTAAGATATAAGCAGAAGCCATATAAATGCTTTTTTCAAAGTTATGGCCATGACATGGCAATCCCTCCTCATAACATAAACAGACAGACAGGGCAATTCCTATATACCAGGGCCAAGCTTAAAAAATTCTTGGTTTGCAGTTGTCAACCTAAATTTTTAGAATGGGCGGTATTTTTTTTTATTTTTCTAAAAAAATGTAGTTTTCAAATATGTTTTAACTAACAAAAATAGGCTTACTTAACATAAGCTCCTCTTGTTATAAGTCGCTGATTGATAATACCAAAAATCGAAAATGAAACATGCAGTTTCACTATCCTGAAAGCTTGAAGCTTAAAAAAAATAATACAAAATAGCTGGAAAAAGTTTGGGTCAGGTGCATTTTCAGTGGGTTACTAGGCAGCTGAAAAAAATTATTTTAGGCCCAGGCTCTTCATTTGAAGGGGTAAGATAACACTGATAAGGTAACACTTTTATCAGTTAAAGATTATGTATTTATTTCTCAAAGTGAGGAAAACACACATAATAGTATTCACAATCAAGTACTTTACAACAGTGACCCACAAACACGAACAGACAAATATCTATATCATATATTTAAACTGATACTGATCCAAAAACCATAATCAGACACATTCTAATACAAAAAATCTTAAAACAGTGAATCACATTCTATGAAAGTAATGATTACTCAGTCATCAAGAAACCATAAACACATGCATAATTGAACTGCCATAACCAAACTTCTACAATGTTTTGAACAAACATTCTATGACAGTGACCCACAATCCATGAACAGACACATACATGTATATATGACAGTGTTCAACAAAGCATGAACATTTTCATATATATGTATGCATATACACAAATGTCTTTACTCAAAGGCACAAAAAGTCATGAACAAACTACAGGAAAAATGTTAGAACAAACAATCTATGACAGTGACCCACAACCCATGAACAGACACAAACACATATATATGACAGTGATCAACAAACCATGAACATTTTCATATATATGTATTCATGTACACAACTGTCTTAACTCAAAGACACAAAAAAAAGTCATGAACAAACTACAGGCAAAATATGAGAACAAACAACCTACGACAATGACCTACAATCCATGATAGAACAAACAATCTATGACAGTGACCCACAATCCATGAACAGACTCATACATGTATATATATGACAGTGATCCACAAACTATGAACTTTTCATATATGTATGTATATACACAAATGTCTTTACTCGAGGACACAAAAAGTCATGAACAAACTACAGGAAAAATGATAGAACAAACAATATATGACAGTGACCCACAATCCATGAACAGACACAAACACTTATATATGACAGTGATCAACAAACCATAAACATTTTTATATATATGTATGCATATACACAAATGTCTTTACTCAAAGGCACAAAAAGTCATGAACAAAATAAAGGAAAAATGTTAGAACAAACAATCTATGACAGTGACCCACAAACCATGAACAGACACATACATGTATATATGACAGTGTTCAACAAAGCATGAACATTTTCATATATATGTATTCATGTACACAACTGTCTTAACTCAAAGACACAAAAAAGTCATGAACAAACTACAGGCAAAATATTAGGACAACCTATGACAATGACCTACAATCCATTATAGAACAAACAATCTATGACAGTTACCCACAATCCATGAACAGACACATACATGTATATATATGACAGTGATCCCCAAACTATGAACATTTTCATATATGTATGCATATACACAAATGTCTTTACTCGGGGACACAAAAAAAAGTCATGAACAAACTACAGGAAAAATGATGGAACAAACAATATATGACAGTGACCCACAATCCATGAACAGACACAAACACTTATATATATATGACAGTGATCCACTAACCATGAACATTTTCATATATATGTATGCATGTACACAACTGTCTTAACTCAATGACACAAAAAAGTCATGAACAAACTACAGGTAAAATATTACAACAAACATTCTATGACAGTGACCCATAACCCATGAACAGACACATACATGTATATATGACAGTGAACAACAAACCATGAACATTTTTATATATATGTATGCATATACACAAATGTCTTAACTCAAGGACACAAAAAGTCATGAACAAACTACAGGAAAAATGTTAGAACAAACAATCTATGACAGTGACCCACAACCAATGAACAGACACAAACACATATATATGACAGTGATCAACAAACCATGAACATTTTCATATATATGTATTCATGTACACAACTGTCTTAACTCAAAGACACAAAAAAAAGTCATGAACAAACTACAGGCAAAATATGAGAACAAACAACCTACGACAATGACCTACAATCCATGATAGAACAAACAATCTATGACAGTGACCCACAATCCATGAACAGACTCATACATGTATATATATGACAGTGATCCACAAACTATGAACTTTTCATATATGTATGTATATACACAAATGTCTTTACTCGAGGACACAAAAAGTCATGAACAAACTACAGGAAAAATGATAGAACAAACAATATATGACAGTGACCCACAATCCATGAACAGACACAAACACTTATATATGACAGTGATCAACAAACCATAAACATTTTTATATATATGTATGCATATACACAAATGTCTTTACTCAAAGGCACAAAAAGTCATGAACAAAATAAAGGAAAAATGTTAGAACAAACAATCTATGACAGTGACCCACAAACCATGAACAGACACATACATGTATATATGACAGTGTTCAACAAAGCATGAACATTTTCATATATATGTATTCATGTACACAACTGTCTTAACTCAAAGACACAAAAAAGTCATGAACAAACTACAGGCAAAATATTAGGACAACCTATGACAATGACCTACAATCCATGATAGAACAAACAATCTATGACAGTGACCCACAATCCATGAACAGACACATACATGTATATATATGACAGTGATCCACAAACTATGAACATTTTTATATATATGTATGCCTATACACAAATGTCTTAACTCAAAGACACAAAAAGTCATGAACTACAGGAAAAATGTAAGAACAAACAATATATGACAGTGACCCACAACCCATGAACAGACACAAACACTTATTTACATGACAGTGATCAACAAACCATGAACATTTTCATATATTTGTATGCATATACACAAATGTCTATACACAAAGACATATAAAAGTCATGAACAAACTACAGGAAAAATGCAAGAACAAACAATCTATGACAGTGACCCACAATCCACCATGAACAGACACATGCATGTAAATATGACAGTAATCCACAAACCACATATACATGTATGCATATACACAAATGATACAAAAATACATAAACAAACTACAGAAAAAAAATTGTAAAATGTTAGAACAATAAATAACCGTGACCCACAATCCAAGAGGTTGAACCGATATGACAATGACCCACAAACTATACACAAACTATGGGACAACCAATATACCAATATATAGAAATATTTACCTCCTGGAGAATATTGATATACAATTCAAGCTTTGATACTATAATTAACAAGCATTTTGACAATCTAAAAATAAATTATTAAATTTTAGAACTAAGATTTGATTTTATTAACTTTGTTAGTGTAAAAATCCTTCAAAAAATCACACAAAATACGAAATCTGATGTACAGGTTCTAGACAGACATTACTTGAAAAATTGATGTCACTTTATAATTCTTTTTTTCCTATAGAATAGATATATATTTTATCACCTCTGGCTTGTGAACATGACTGTTTAGTCTTTATTTATCATTTATTGCATAAATATTTACATTTCCAATGTCTTTGTCCGAGATAAAATTACAAATTGTAAAAATACTTTATTTCTACATAAATCTACTAGTTCATCGATAGGCGCGGTTAAAAAAAAATCACATGCGGGGCGGGACAAATAGAGACAGAAGCGGGGCTATTAGCATGGGAATTTGGGAGCATGTAAATATAAGGAATAACTATCAGATTTTTTGGATTCATGACGATGATCAATCGATTGGCTTGCGTGATAATTTTATGCATAAACGCCTTTGGCGTTTATGCAAATTATCACGCAAGCCACTCGATTGATCACATCAGGAATCCAAAAAATAAGACAGTTAGCTTTAAATGAGTTTTAATAAAACATAATTTCACCACGCGAATTTAATTTCTTGTTCGTCGCACATCTGGTGAAAAAAGTAAGAGCGGGCAAGAGATTAAATAATAATATTATTACTTTTTTGTACGCAAAATTTTTAGGCATAACATGAAAAAAATTGAGTGACAATTATATTTTTTCTACTTTTTTCTGATTTGTAGAGTAAACAGATTTAAATTATCAAAAATAGAGCGGAAATAAAACAGAAACTGGCACAGAATTTCCCAGGTGCAGGAGATTTAAATTAATATTATTTGTATAGCTTTGTTCAAATAAGAGCGTGCGGGTCCGACAAGCAAAACATTAAATTGGAATGGGCTTTGTATTTGATTTTATTTATGAAAATTGATAATGGCACATGTCACATATTCACATCAAAACTTATCACATTATCACTTTTGGAATTGCAAAGCAGTGTATCAACAGACTTTTCATATTTGAAACTAATTATTTTTTTTTCTGCATAATAAAGCATAATTCAAAATGTACCGGTAGTATTTTCAGATTAAGATGGACTTAACTGTAGAAAAAGACAGTTTTATATTCAGTCCACATATCAGCTTCAGAGCAAATAATTAACCACACACACATGAACACCATTAGGGTCTTGGCTTATCTGCGGAAAAAGTTTATATTCTGCAAAATGGTCTTCACTGGTTTGTGGAACATGTGCAAGTTTTCCATCAGGGTCTGCCTCAATAATCCACTCTAAGGAACATGCAAAGATGAACTGACAATGTAATATAAGTTATGCTACAAGTCTTGTATTGAAATTTCCTCCTATATTTCAGAAGAGTTACACATACCTGTACTAAATTGCCTAAGCTGTTGAACATGTGAATTTACAAGGTCCTGACTAGTCTGCACAATCTGTGGAACATGTAGAAATGCTGCAACAGGGTTTGCCTCCAAAATGCTTCCTATAATATATGTGCAAAACAAAATTAATTGTGATTATATTTATGCCTACAACTACATTCAGATACCTTTAATGTAAGCTATTTCGATGCATTTTGAATAGAAATTTAACATGCTATTAAATAAATGTTTTTAACATAAAATAAATTAATAAAAAGTATCAAATAAACTAATTGTTTTTTTATATAACACTAAACAGCAAGGGCAATGGTCACCCAGGTGTAAATTGTACAATCAACTGAGAAGTCCTATTAGGTAGACCCTAATTGTAAGGACCATTATGACAATTTATCAAAGGATCTTGGATCAGGCTAAACAAGAAATATACTAAACTTCAAAGTTCGCAGAAATGTTCTTTCTATAAATATCTACTTGATGGGTTTTACCTACCGTATTATTTAAGAAATTCAATTCTGACTAAGTTTCAAAAATGTATATCAAAGTTAAGATTATCTTCACACCTTTTAGCTATTGAAACTGGATATAATAAAGCAAACAGATCCCACTGGAAATGTTTTTTTGTGTCATACTTGTGTCGAGGATGAATATCACTTTCTACTAGTATGTCCTGTTTATCAAGATTATCAATGCAAATTATTTCTTTTAAAAAAAAACATCCATACATATAAATTACTGCAATTGTTCAATACTAAGAACTTTAAGGATATGTGTAACCTAGGTATTACAAATATATTTATTATAGCATGAGGCAAAGAGGTGATCCTGTACATATAATCAAATATCAGCTGTCTCATTTAAAGTCATCATTTTGTAAGTTCTATGGTCGATACAATGACCTTGTCAGCAAATACAATTTATCATTGAGTCAAATGCTGACTGACGTTTTTCATACTAATTGTTAGACCATTATTTACACACTGAATTGTCGACGGATTTTTCTGTTATTTCCCAATCATGACAAGGAGCACACGGCGGGTGTGACCGGTCTGCAGGGGATGCTCACTCCTCCATGGCACCTGATCCCACCTCTGATGTTTGGAGGTCCGTGTTTGCTCTGCTCCTATTTTGTATTGTATAATGGACTTTTGAGCTTGAATGCTGTTCATTATCTCCATATATTTCATATCAAGGTGATCTTGTAATCCAATAATAATAATCACTCTAACCTTGTCTTAGAGGTATTATTTTCAATAATTTACTTTATTTAGGCCAAAAAAAAATAATAGTCTTGTTTTTTTTAAATTTTGGAAGAAAAAAATCTCGAATTTCCGGAATTTCATCGTTCTGTCACCATAATCGTTTTCTGTGTTAACACAAAACAAGCATTTCATGAAATTCTTGTTTTAAATGTGGACTTTCATAGAATACCACTTGAGTTTAGTCAAAAGACATGAAATTTGATTTTAAAAGACAATATTGACCTGTGACATGTTTAATTTTATCTTTTATTAGTTCATATCCAAAAAATGTTGTCGAAAAAAAAAATAAAATGAAAATATACAATAAAATAATTTTCCTACCTACCTACCCTATTTCTTTTTTCAGGCTGGTAGCAGGAAACAAGACTATTTTTTTGGTCTTATCTAAAATATGGATCACAAAAAGATGTTGTTTTTTCCCCATCAATTTAATTAATTCATCATTTTCACCAATTGCTATTTTCCTATTCTTGGGAAAAAAGTTCACAAATTAATATATTTCAATGTACGTGATGTAAACTTCAGAAACTTGCATCTGCTGAACATCAATTTTAGTGCCCTTGTAATCGTAGATTCGGGGGTATATAGTTTTTGCCCTGTGCATCCATCTGTCTGTTTGTCCGCAAAAAAAATCATTAATCATCAAGTCGTAATGTTATGACAGCATGCTTTAATAGTGACTACTTATACAGTTTGATGGAACCACGGACCTATACTATACGTCCCTGACAGAATGGCATCCAAACGTCATAAACTTTTTAGAACCTGACCTTGTTATTGAAACATTTGGTCAATTGCTTGCATATTACAACTAATTAAGTGTTTTGGCAGCATTAATAATGACTGTTTAATGGGTTAGGTACGTACTATGTAATAATAAGTAAACATGACAAACAGCTGGCAAAGTCCTGTCTCAATAAGTGTCAAACTTGGTATTTTCTTTTGAATAAATTTTAATTCTAGGATCAGTCTTCTTGTGTTCCTCTGTGTACTGTACAACCATAAGGGTGGTTGTACTAATAAAAATATTTCCTTAAACCTAGCAAATTGTTTATAGTCACAGTAATACCTTACATCTTTGATTTAGTAAAGACATAAAACATACAGGGTGTTAGTTCCTTGTTTTACTAGTGTTATTCACAAAATATTTTCATTATGGCAAGTGAAATATTCTGAAATGGTGGCCAAAATTTTTTTTAGGTCCTCATTTAGTGACCTGAAAATAAGTGTGACTTGGAACACTGTTGGGTAAAACATTTTTCATCTCTTGACCTCTCAAGAACATTGAAAAAAAAAATGCACTACAAAGAGGATGCAGCGTATCAAATTTGAAAATCCATTATTCTAAATATTTACCTGATGAGTGATGAACTCCAAGGAAGATTGTCCATTGGGCATGGGGATCACCATAGTCATATCTGATCTCCTTCCCTCTATCAATATCCCTTCTTGCAAAGAAAAAGCCTGGAGTAGTTGTTAAACACTTTTAACTTCTCATAACATGCATAAGATGGGGTTGTCTATAGCTGCATCATTAACCTACTTTCCAAGCCTTTGGAAGCTGTCAGATGCATCAATGCTTGTAAAATGATAATGAAAACCATAAATAAAAAGTTTAAAGTTACATATAAACATAATAACATATATGATGAAATATTAGGACTGCAGGAACAATACAGATTTTATGCAACAATCACAATATAGTAGTCACAATATATGAATCACAATGTATTTTTCCAAAAATAATTTTTGTTTCATACAATATGCAAGAGTAATAAAAATCCCTGCCACTGTATCATATTGTTCAATTATCGTACACATTTTAGAGTGCAAGAAAATTATGTTATTCTTTACTCTAAAAAATTGTCATCCTAGTGAGACATGACACTCTGCAATTTGTTGTAAAGATATAAAAATCCATATAAAAAATATAACGCAGCAAGGTTAAGGATGCCCACAGGAAATAATACGGCTAAAAATATTCTGAGAAAATAAATATAGTGTTGATTTTTTTTTTACAGCATGAGTTTTGATTAATGGGAATTCTACTATTTGCATATGTAGGAGGGTTGTCCCAGAAATACGTGAACATTTTCAATATCTTTTGTTTCACTAATACTGTAAAGTTAAATATAGGCATAGATCATGATCAACATTTTTGTGAATTTTTTCTGGAAATGTGCTTCTGATAAAATTAGTTTATTTAAGCATAAATTCGGCACAGTATTTAATTTTATTTTATTTACCAAGTAATGCATCTCAAATACGGCGTGTGTTGCTAAAAGATTGTGGAATTAATTCTTTCAATAGACAATTTCTCAATTCCGATAATAAACCTAACAGTTCACATTGTTTAACGATGGCCTTGGCTTAGGCTTATGACGTAAAGCTCAGGACTTTCAGTTTGTCTTCATTTCTTTTGGTCTACAAAATGTCTCTTCCAGCACTAATATCTCTTTCATCGTATGGGCAAGAGTCCTATCCCGTTTTAAAGACAGTGCTGCTTAATAATTTGTGCTCCAAATTATCACTAAACGTCACCATTTTTAACAATATCTAATTAAAAGTGTTCTGGCATATAACGTCATATATTTGTCATTAATGATATCAAATTAATGAATTTTCATACACAAGTATATCAGCTAGATCAAAGAGTATTTATGGAGGTAAAGTTTGTGACATTATATTTCCGTATAGCCTGGTAATAAAGAAAAATTCATTGACAATGCTACTTTTAAAAGTCAATAAACTGCAGTGTGCAGACCACCGATATTTAACACCCTTTAAATGCCGTTTTTACATATTAATGACATCACAAGCCTAAAATATTTTGTCATAATACTGAAAATATCATTTTCCAACAACTTGCAAAAAATTATTAGTTCTGGTCAAATAGTTTCTGAAATATACAAAAAGTTTGTGTTTTCTGGGACAACCCTCATATATATGAGGTCTTTGCCGAGTTCGGCCAAAGCAACTTTACTTACATCAGCTGTTTGTCAAGTGACATGTTTAAAATTACAAAAAATATGTATGGCTAAAAAGATCATAAAGTACAACGATATACGGATATCTTTTCACTATGAAATTCCTTAACCTGAAAAGTGCTGGGAGCAACTTCCCCATGCCTGAGGATTATGTAAAATTTTTGATAAACTTCCTACATTGACATAATATGCATTGAAATAATGATAAAATACGGAAAAAAGCAACAGCGCACAACCAGCTCCTGGCACTTTTCAAAGTAGTAGGGATGTTACTACCTTTGTATAATAAAGTGCCCCAGCATGATACGCCCGTCAAATATTGTTCAATTATCACGAACAGTTTAGAGTGCAAGAAAATAAAGTCAACCTTGATACAAGGATTTCCAAGATTTTTCCATTTCTTACAATTTTTGTTTATACATTTCCTGTGGTGTAGGCATTATAACAAATATTACATTATAGATCCTCAACTGGTAGTGTTAGAGCTTGACAAATGCCCATCTGCCCCCCCCCCCCCCCCCCCCCCCCACACACACACACACACAGTGACACACACACACATCTTTCATATTTGTGAGACATGATGCTCTGAAATTTACTAGTTGATATTTTCAAAAAATTAAATAAAAATATCATATTAAACAAAATCAATTTAGTCTTAACAACTTAATCTATACCAATTTAATTTTAAAATAAAAGACTGGCCATCAAATGACATATGCTATAAACTGACCAGCAGTTCTTCTGTCTAATTCCCAAAGGATACAGATAAGAACTGCTTGATCAGAGATGCTCTAACAGAAATGATTGAGAACAGCTAGCCTTCCTACACTGAACTCATTAATTAATCTTTAACTGGATGCATGTCCACTCATTACTCCCAAGGGATGAATGGATCTGTGCTATCTGCTTTGTAGTGCAATTAAAATGAATATTTATGTCATTCTGAAATTAAATTTGAAAACAAAGATTTTTTTTTTCAATTTGTTACAAAGATTTATAAAAAGAAAAAAAAATTGTAATCTTGATGCAACATTTTTAATAAGGTTTCTGCTTGACTCTTAGATTTGTAGGGACTATCTATTAGTTTATTATACAATATCAAATTAGTTTATTATACAATTATTTTATCAAATTAGTTTTAATTACTTTTCACCAAATTCATTTTAAAAGTTAGGCTAGCCCACAAAAAACTATTTAATCCAACATGGCTGATTCCTCTGCCCAATTCCCAAGAGATATAGATAACACCTGCTTGATCAGAGATGCTCTACCAGTTAGCTCCTCACACTAAACTAATTTCTCGCTAATTTGACATGCAATTTTCTGTTATCAAAATTCTCCTTGACCAGTGCTTGATAATTACACCCATGGGAGAGGTGGAATTTCTCTTGTAACATTATATTTGTTATAGATTGCTGTAAAGTATATAATGAAAAAAATAAGTATTTCTTGATTTTAACATCTTTTTAATAAGGATACTGCAACACTTCTACATTTTTTGGGATTGTGTAATTTAATAGTAAAAAGGCAGTTTTTTTTTTTTTAAAATTTCACTTAAATTAAAGGTCACAGTGACCTTGAAATAGGTCGCGACACACCTTCTACCTAAGATGCATAAACTGGCCAAGTTTGATGATTATAAGTCTAATAGTTTTCTAGTTATGAGCCAGACAGGATTTTTCCATATTTGGCCATAGCATCTTAATTAAGGGTCAGAGCGACCTACTTTTAGTGCGTGACACACCTTCTACCAAAGAAGTATCAGCTGACAAAGTTTGATAATCCTAGGCCTAATAGTATTAAAGTTATGAGCCGGACACGAGAAAGGCTAACAGACAGACAGACAGACGGACATGAACGCCATAACATAATACGTTCCGTCTAAAGACGGGCGTATAAAAATTCATAAATTATAGTGAAGCAGATATCGTTGAACTTTTGAGATTTTCGAGGGGCTGTGCCTGTTATTCTAGATTGTTAATGTATAAATGTGCCTTACTGTGGCTTTATATGAGGTCTACACATTTTCAATTTAAGGCCTAAAAAAAAAAAAGGGTTTCCTGTAACCTGACCGACCCATTGATTATCCCCCGGCGGATTTTTTTTTTCTGCCAAATCTGCATTTGCTCTTTGGTTCGATGGATCAGCTGATTCCATTTATTCAAAAAATATTAATTGTAGCTTTATTTGAGATATAAAATATGTCATCCTAGTCAACATTTACCTTGAATATAAAGAGTAATCATTATTGTAACAACAATTTCCACCCACAACTTTTAGAATTTCGTTCTCTGCCGCTAAGCAGCCATTTTGGGTGTCCACTTTAAATATAACACCTGGTTAATTCAGTCTGGGGATGTTTGACCCTTTTATCCATAAGCAAAAAAAAAAAAAAAAATCCCAACCTACCGACCCTTGATTTTTTGGGAATGTTACAGGAAGCAAACAATTTTTTTTAGGCCTAATTAGACTATAAAATATTGATTAATACATTCAAAAATATGACTTAGTTTTGGTCAGATCACACTTATTTTAATTTGATATTTACAAGCTACAATAATAGCTTGATCTATGCCTCAAGTACAGAGAAACTGTCTGTCAAACTAGGGTGTGACGTCATCTTAGTCAGTGCAGGAAGGTCAAGATGGCTTAAATTCTACATTCAAATAGTGTTATTATGACATGATAAGTTACACATCAATTTATGTTTACAATATTTATCATGTTATGAGAAAAGACTGTATTTGAGTGTGTATGAAAAAGAAAACATTAGTATTTAGGATTTATTTGTTCAGTTTCATTGTGACGTCATAATCGATTTCCAGAAGCTCTGCATATAGGCTGATGTAAGTATGGGAGTCCTAAACCTAGCTGCGTATACAATATATATATATATTTTTATATAATTAGTTTTGATTACTTGTTAAATATACAATATCAAATTAGTTTTAATTATATTATATACTAAAAGATTAGTTTTATTTACTTTACAACAAATTTATCTTGAAAGTTAGACTAGACAAGAAAGTCGACTTTTGCACTCGGCGAGCAGAGTTTTGACACTGTTTACGGAAATAAAAGAAAATTAATAAATAAGACAAACATGTCATAGATAGTTGTGTAGATAAATTATTGTAGAGGACAATGGTAATAAACAGTTTGCCAGTGCATTTCCTCTGAAAGTGTAAATAAGTTCAATTTTGGGGAAGGGGGGGGGGGGGGTACTCAATGTAATATGGAGTTGGATACCTTGTATTATCATCATACTATGGGTTGAAAAATTTATTACCAAAACAAGTGCCTGTAATACCAGCTGTTAAAAATCAGTATGGGCCACTACCATTTTAGAACTAGTAGCCTCTTCAGCGACCAGTTTTAAAGGCTGATATTTTTAACCGAACAGTTTTCTCTGGTGAGGGGAGGGACTAAGATTTTCCCAGAGGCTGATCGTGTATGGTGTTAATACCTATACACACACAGTATACACAGGAAGTCCTTGTTACCTGTGGGAACTTTTATACATATATTTCTAAAAGATGATAAATTTTTTAATTGTAAGCTAGCTTATTGTGAGAAAATATAGCATTAT